TAAGTGAAGTCAAATATAAAAGGCACATTTGAAACAGCATAACTGGCAAAAGAATAAAATATTCTCATAAGCATAGAACATATCTGCTGCTGTAGTTATGGGCCAATTACACCTGGAAGCAAGTCCAATGGAACTTCTGTGTAAACATGTATAGGTTTGCACTGTGAAAAGAACATGGAAGGAATTTTTTTAGTAGGAATCCCCTTAGGACCAAAGTTGTTTTTTTTTGGGGGGGGGACCCCTGACCATTAGGTCCAGTCATGGCCGACTCTGGGGTTGCAGCGCTCATCTCGCTTTATTGGCCGAGGGAGCTGGCGTACAGCTTCCGGTTATGTGGCCAGCATCACCCCGTCACAGGGATTTGAACCACCGACTTTCTGATCGGCAAGTCCTAGGCTCTGTGGTTTAACCCACAGCACCACCCGTGTTCCTAGGACCAAAGTAAGTACCCTAATAAATGGACATGGGTGGCACTGTGGTCTAAACCCCTGAGCCTCTTGGGCTTGCCGATTGGAAGGTCGGTGGTTTGAATCCCCACTATGGGGTGAGCTCCCATTGCTCAGTCCCAGCTCCTGCCAACCTAGCCGATTGAAAGCACGAAGCACGTCAAAGTGCAAGTAGATAAATAGGTACCGCTCTGGTGGGAAGGTAAAAGGCGTTTCCGTGCACTGCTCTGGTTTACCAGAAACGGCTTAGTCATGCTGGCCACATGACCCGGAAGTTGTCTGCTTACAAACGCCAGCTCCCTCGGCCTGTAGAGCAAGATGAGCGCTGCAACCCCAGAGTCGTCCGTGACTAGACCTAACGGTCAGGGGCACCTTTACCTTTAAGTACCCTAATGGGACCCTCATTAGGGGGCTAACATCATACTGCCACATAGAAGGCAATTTGATGGAAAAAAGTACAAGTACAAGGGCGAAATATGAATGTGTACATGGATTGAAAGAATGCCAACCATAACGATTCTCAACCATGGTCTGAATATGTGGCAAAAACCTAAATTTTTTTCCCCTTGCTAGAGAGATTGCAAAAGTAGTTGGTTAGCACAATCTTTCACAGCTATGCCTGCAGAAATTAAATGTAAAACTGATATCTATGAATATGGAGAGATCTCTGATCTCCAAATGTTAATGTTTCAGTAAGACATGAGTAAAGACTACACACACACAGTCGTACCTTAGAACTCGAATGCCTTGGCTCGCAAACAAATAGACTCCCGAACAATCGAAACCTGGAAGTGAGTGTTCCAGTTTTCGAACGATTTTTGGAACCCGAACATCTGTCATGGCTTCCGCGGCTTCCAATTGGCTGCAGGAGCTTCCTGCAGCCAATCAGAAGCCGCCCTTTGGTTTTTGAATGTTTTGGAAGTTGAACGGAGTTCCAGAATGGATTCCGTTCAACTTGCAAGGTGTGACTGTATATATAGTTATTATTCTACTATTTTCCATACCAAGATGTAATACAAATGTAATATGGATTAAGGCATAAATGTAAATTACTGCTTCACCCCTCAAACAGTAATTCAGGACTCAGATTACATTTTCTTTAAAGCACAATATAGTCTGAATATAGGACTAAATTTTGCATGAGTCAGGGTGCTTTTAGGCTTGAGCAGAATAAAATCTTCCAGTTTTAGCTGCCTTGGTTAAAATGTGTCCTCTTTTAGAATAAGAAAATAATGCAGAAGCATAATCCTCAATCATATGTTCAAAGGCAACTTCAAGTTATAAATCACACAGCTTGCAAGATGGAGCTGTAGCCACCTTATAATAAAATGCCCTTGACTGTCTTTTGGATAGCAGTAATTTGTCGCATGCCTGCAGTTTATGAAGTTTCTTACCTCTGTGGTAAGGAGGGAAGGTGATATGGCAGACCGCCCATAGGGCCTGGGCCTGCCAAAAATATAGATGTTCTGCAAGGACACAGAATCACCAAACCCTTAGTTTGTGGCTGGTGGCTTCACCAACACAATGCTGATGCGACATTTTCATTTTTGGCAGGGATGCTAGTCTAAATCAGGTGATTGGCATATTTCTGGTTGCAAGGCAACTAAAACTCATATCAATTTCACCCCCCCACACACACACCCAAAACAATTCTCAAAATTAGCCTCTGTAAATTTTGCTACTGAATATTCTCTTCATGTATAGATCTTATTTAATTGCAATAATAATAATAATAATAATAATAATAATAGCAGCAGCAGATTTCTGCTGAACTGCACTTTTTCAGTGTTTTGGCTCTAAAGCAATTATTCAAAGTGGCATAGAAATGGGCTGCCCATTATATTAACCAATATCCTTGTGGTGAGCTTTCAAACAGTAATCTGTTTGAACAGTTAGCATGTATGTGTAAAGGGGGAGGTGTATACAGGCAGTGCTTTTTTCTGGAGTCACGCAGGGGTACGCATGCCCTTTAACATTTTGTGAATCTTTGGACTTTTGTCCATTTACTGTATTTATTTTTCCCGCTTGGAACTGTAAAATGGTGATTTTCTTGAGTCAAAATGAGAGTACCCCTAAACATTTTTTTTAGAAAAAAGCACTGTACACAGGCAACTCCCCATTTACATGGGGGTTATATTATGAGGCACTGTGTGTTTAAGTGAAATTCCGTATATTGGGAACGCCATTGAAAAAGCCGGCAAACACACCCCAAACCTCCTTGCTCAAACTCCAGCTCCCCACAGGCCTAAAAGATCAGTGCAAGGGCTCCTGGGATTGCACTTGCAAAGGCCCATGGGATTGCTAGACGCTGGTTTTGTGCCATTTTTTGCAATTTTGCGCTCCTTTAGGGCTGTTTTTGCCCCTTTTGTCCTATTTCCGGGTTTGTGGCGATGCGCACATGCACAGTTGTGCATGCCTTAAACGCACGTAAATGGGGAGTTGCCTGTATACATGCACATACCCACACCTACATTTTGGACCTGAATAGGCTTAATTCTGAATATATATGCATGAGTGAACTGTTGGTATCCAAAGGCCAAAATTTTCACTTGGGAAAGACTGGTATACCAACTGCTTAAGAAAATGGCTGACAACCATTATTTCTGCATCGTGGGGGGGTGTGCGAGGGCAGGTTCACAGAGTTTTCCACATCCCAGCTGTTTTGCCTAATTATTATTATTATTATTATTATTTATTACTTGCACCCCACCCACCTGGCTGGGTCTCCCCAGCCACTCTGGGCGGCTCCCAACAAAATATTAAAAACACGATAAAACATCAACATTAAAAGCTTCCCTAAACAGGGCTGCCTTCAGATGTCTTCTAAAAGTCAGATAGTTGTTTATTTCCTTGACATCTGATGGGAGGGTGTTGTTTGTTTCCTTGACATCCGATGGGCGGGCGCCACTACCAAGAAGGCCCTCTGCCTGTTTCCCTGTAACCTCACTTCTTGCATTGAGGGAACCGCCAGAAGGCCCTCAGAGCTGGACCTCAGTGTCTTAGTTTTCTGATGGGGATCTTTTATTTGCATGAAATTCTACTCTGCTGGCCCCATCGTTGGCTTTGCAGAAACGTAATACGCAGTCGTCCAGATTTGCAAGCTGTGTGCTGCAAAAATTTCCCGGGTGGGTGGAAAGCTCCCCTTGAAATCCCCATTCCAATGGGGACCCCTAAGCCTGTAGCCTGACATTCCAAAATCTGACTGCCTTTGGAATATGAAACATTTTTATTATTGCAGTCATCTCAATGGACAGCTCTGACCCAGGGCAGACAGAAGTCAAGGTTATGTGCATACTTTGGGTGGTGGGGAGGTGAGGGAATGGGATGGTGGTAGGTTTCTAAATATAACCAGATTGTTGCCCCCTTTTACTATTGTAAAACATAGTTGCTAGGGTGGTATCCTCATATATTCTTGTCCATCTGCTCTAACTGCTTTAGTGTTAGGATTGGTCCTCGGGGATTTGAGAACTCTTGCCTCCAGCTTGCTGTTGATAAAGCACCTTACCTGCAGTAATGTTTCCAACCGTTGGTTATAAAAATTACCCGTCTGTGGCTCCCTGTCACCAGATTTATAATTTATTACGGTTATTGTTACACATCAGCAAAACAGCTAATGTATATGTATCTGTGGTCTCAGATGGGATTCTGTAGCTATGCCAGGCCTTTGGGGAACTTTACCCTGAGCATCTGTATTTGGGCTAAATTAATATTTCATTTTCTCCAGGGCAAATGAAAGGGAGGACAAAAGGCACTAATCAAAAGAGATGTTGAAATTCTGAAATTCAGGCGAACTATCCAGTGTACCTGTTATTGGCACTGCCGAAATCTTCTGAGTGTTTGTGTGTTGGTTTTATTTGTTAAATTTGTTTCCCATGTTTTGACCAATAAAATACAATAAAAGATCGGTAAACTATACAAAGAGGCAGATGAAATATCAGTAAAAGAATTAGGCTAGTATTTTTCACAATTCCAAAGCTGGCCACACACATGCACACACCTCCCCCAATTCAAAATTATGGGACAGGCAGGGAATAATATTTAACCATATGTCTGGAAATCTGTGGAGTCCTTTTGTTCACAGTTCTGTGTAACACCTTTAAAGGTAAAGGGACCCCTGACCATTAGGTCCAGTCTTGACTGACTCTGGGGTTGTGGCACTCATCTCGCTTTATTGGCCGAGGGAGCCGGCGTACAGCTTCCGGGTCATGTGGCCAGCATGACTAAGCCACTTCTGGCGAACCAGAGCAGCGCACGGAAACACTGTTTACCTTCCCACCAGAGCGGTACCTATTTATCTACTTGCACTTTGACGTGCTTTCAAACTGCTAGGTTGGCAGAAGCAGGGACCGAGCAACAGGAGCTCACCCCGTCGCGGGGACTCTAACCGCCGACCTTCTGATCGGCAAGTCCTAGGCTCTGTGGTTTAACCCACAGAGCCACCCGTGTCCCTCATGTAACACCTTTAAGGCTTCCTAATTCATAGAATCATACAACAGTAGAATTGGAAGGGACCACAAGAGTCATCTAGTCCAACCCTCTGTGATGCAGGAATCTTTTACCCAATGTGGGACTCAAACTCACAACCTTGAGATTAAAAATCTCACGCACTCCCGACTCAGCTATGCCATGCATGCACTGCAAACTGCAATCCTGTACACACTTACCAGGGAGCAATCCCCATGAAATCTAGTGTGGCTTACTTGTGAGCAACGTATGATTATTGCAACCTTCCTCAACCTCAACTCTCCAGATGTTTTGAGACTACAATTTCCATCATCCCTGACCACTGGTCCTGCCAGCTAGGGATCATGGGAGTTGTAGGCCAAAAACATCTGGAGGGCCAAGGTTGAGGAAGCCTGGATTATTGTGACGTGAACCTGCACTAGAAATTGTGACAGCAATTCTGAACCAAGGGAAGACACTTGGGTGTTAGGTGTTTAGACAACTGCAATGTTTTCAAGCATCCGTTGAGTTTTTGTTTTGCAAACGAGAAGGATAGGGAGAGAATTAGAGCAAGTGGAAACCACACAAGGTTTCTCCCAGCAGAAAAGCAACTGTGACAGCAGTGATGCTTTCCGAGCCAAAGTAAGACACTTTTCAGTTTTGTTCGGTGCTAAGTGTTTGTGCAGCTGCAATGCTCAAGTGCCCACGGTGCCTTTTCAAGGAAGGAGGATGGGGAGAAAACTAGTACAACTGGCCATGTCCCTGTGACCTCATTGGCCCCACCACCACAATTCCCTGTCAGCCATGCCACATCCTTTGATCATCAGCTGCCACTGGCCACAGGTTTCCTGTGGGAATGTTGTGGATACTAGGAGAGGATATATTGATTTAATAGTATCCTTCCTCACTCATTCTTGTGAGTCATCACCAGAGCAACATTCCCCAATATATAGCAAGAAGCTAGTTGGTAGATTGTTTTGAATCTCTTTACTTAAGCAATCCAAGCTGGCTTTGTCCAGATTGGGTTCTGTTCCTGGTAAGTCCCCTTTTCTCCTTCCTAAAAAGAATAAAGACACAAGAAGCTTCTTTTCAAAGTAATAAGAAGTTTACTCACATTCAGTTCACAGTTGGATTCCTGAAGGCAGGCTTTAGCTTGTAGTTACAGATACAGTGTGGCTTACATCCCTGTAAGGATGGGCCCATGTGCTGCTGGCAGAGAGCCAACAGTGTAGTCCAAAAGAAGAAAAGGTAACAAAAGAGGAAGGTGGCTGCTTGACTGGACCTTTTCTGGGGTCTGCAAGGGTCACGCCCACCTACCTGGTCACATGCCGGGAGAGGATGCTCCAGACCAGGTGTAACAGGAAGTTCAACTGGCTAGATCAGCATCCCCCTGTCTGTGTCCACTCTGGGCAAACGAGGAATGTTGTATTTGACTGCTCCAATGGATTACATCCCACATTTCCCACCCCTGCAAGTAGTACAATGACAGCTTACCTGCTCTGACTCACTTCAACCCTGTCCTGCTTCCTGAAATATTGTTTGTGGGTCTTGATACAGAAAGGTTTGATATAATTCCAAGGGAACAAGCCAGCAGCATGACAAGCCTGGGCAGTGCTGAATTTTAAATCAATTTCCTTTTTCTTTTTAAAAGCATGAAACACAAAATAATCCACTGATCTCACTAGCATCTGCAAGGTATGAGTAACCCCAACAGGATTTACTCTGTCAGTGTTCAGCAGACTGTTCAGGCAGGCAGATATTAATTCATTTTTAATGTTAGTAAAATACAGTCATTAAAAAGCAGCTAACACAAAATGCCAGAAATGCTTTTAACGTTGCACAAAGTGCACTCCTTTGCCGAAATTGCTTGTTACTTTTGGAGATCGGGAGATGCTGGAGTCTTTAAATATTTAAACTAGAAGTTGCTTTTTTCCAAATGCAGTGTTTCTGATCAGAAAAATTGTTTCAACAAGCAACGCTGTTGAATAATGCACGATGCTGCTAATAAGATAGTCTGGGAGAATCATTTGTTATGCTGCGAAAATGACTAGCCTTTTGAACGTGAAAGAGGCTTGCATTGATTGGAAATTCTGTAGCAAATATGTAAAAGTGCAGCCGGAGTGTGACAACTTTCAGATAAACATTGTGTCCCAACTCTTCTCCTTTGTTAGCAAATTTACTTTACGTGATCTCTATCACCAGACCATTCCTAATATATCTGAATTCACAAGACCTTTGCACAGATCCAAACCTATGTAGGGCATGGATAAATAGGCATCTAGAGGACATGATATAACCTGCACTTTTGGATTAGTCTGCAAAACATGTAAGCAATGTTTTGAAACCAAGATATGCAATGCCCGTTTAATAGCTAGGAAGAGATATTGCACTGTAAACTATAATAAGTCACACTTTGTTCTGTGTGACTGAATTACTTAATGAACGTATTTAGGTTTGAATATCCTACATCCATATAGTAAAAGCTATGGTTTTCCCAGTAGTGATGTATGGAAGTGAAAGCTGGACTATAAAGAAGGCTGCTCACCGAAGAATTGATCCTTTTGAATTATGGTGCTGGAGGAGACTCTTGAGAGTCCCTTGGACTGCAAGAAAATCAAACCTATCCATTCTTAAGGAAATCAGCCCTGAGTGCTCACTGGAAGGACAGATCGTTAAGCTGAGGCTCCAATACTTTGACCACCTCATGAGAAGAGAAGACTCCCTGGAAAATACCCTGATGTTGGGGAAGATGGAGGGCACAAGGAGAAGGGGACAACAGAGGACGAGATGGTTGGACAGTGTTCTCGAAGCTACCAGCATGAGTTTGACCAAACTACGGGAGGCAGTGGAAGACAGAAGTGCCTGGCGTGCTCTGGTCCATGGGGTCACGAAGAGTCGGACACGACTAAACTACTAAACAACAACAACAAATCCTACATCCCTCCATTTGTTTATACATCTCGTAAATGGCGACAGCCTTGTTTAGAGGTCTCATGTGGAAGCGCTGACTCATCCGCTGCGTCATGTTTGGAATCGTGTTGTGGTGCCAGCCAAGTTGCGAACCCATCTCCCACAAGCCCTTACACGGGCTTTCAAAGCACCAGAAACAGACCTTGCCGTCAAAACATCTAAGGATTAGTTTGATTGGTGGTTTTTAACCGATGCTTTTTCTACATACGGTAGCTGTCTGGAGACAACACTGCAGCCGTTATACAGAGACCATTCTGTATAAGGTTGTCACTGTCAACCAGCTTTCAAAATCCAGTGATATGGGGGAAACTGTGTTCTGCCACCCTGTGTGTGGTGTGGAGCACTGCATGCGAATGGTGCAACATGTGCTGGCATGTAGCTGTCAAGTGAAGCCGTTTAGGGTCATGCATATTATGACCATGATGTGTGAATCAATTACTAAGAAGACAAGTGGATATGACAGAAAATAGACAGGGTCATTGGTGCATCTGACTCTTTCCTCACTCTTGCGATGTTTCGCAGGGCTGCAATTCATTGATGAATCATGTTTTTTTTTAAAAAAATATTATCTAGCCCCAGTGGCATGCCAAGCCTTCTGCAGATCAAATTCAGTGCAAAGTAATTCTGGGCTGAATATTTTCCCACAGCCTAGCTTCGTCATCTATATCCTCCTGCTAAGTGGCAAGATGACTTTTTGACACAATCTTTGAATTGTAGAGTTCAAATAGACCCTGGGGGACAACTAGCCCAACTCCTTGCTTATGCAGAAATCTCAGCTAAAGTATCCATGGTAGATGCCATCCAACCTTTGATTAAAAACCTCCATTAAGGAGACTCCCCAACCTCCCAAGGGAGTCCATTCCACTGTCAAACAGCTCTTACCGTCAGAAGTTCTTCCTGATGTTTAGTTGCAATCTCCTTTCTTGTAACTTCAATCCATTGGTTCGAGTCCTACCCTCCGGAGCAGGAGAAACCAAGCTTGCTCCCTCTTCCATGTGACAGCCCTTTAGATATTTGAAGATGGTTATCATATCTCCTTTCAGTCTCCTCTTACCCAGGCTGAACACTCTCCCCAAAATGGATATAGCTAACCATTGTCTAGCTACATGTAATATGAGAATGAGGGCAAAAATAAACACCATCTTTAATATGATAACACCCTTATGAGATGATTGTATCTTTTGTGTGATAAGGATTTCAAATGTTGTGTGATCAATAAATAGCATTTTCTACATCATGTAAAACGTCGAGAGCTGTACAAAGGTGTAAATTACTTGTCACATCACAGAGCAGCACATTCATAGCTGGTACATCAAGGGTGCGAAATCATCTCATGATCAATTTATTGACTTATTATGCTCATCTTAAATATGAAGCAAGGATTTTTTAAAAAATCCAAAGTTCTTCTACAGCTCAAATTTAATATAAAAACTCTCCACCCACCCACCCACGAGCCTCTAAATCTCCGTGGCATTTTCTGATCTGCAATGAGGAGATCTCAGTATGCCAGAGAGGATGGTGAGGTCATTCATCATTTACAGAAGATCCATGTGATGAAAGTCAAGTGATATTGACTTGTCATGGTGAGAATTTTGCAGTAGTGCCCACTGCCATATAAACTACATTTTGCATATCTCTTTCAAACTTATTACTCTTCCTTTTAGACAATTATGGTGAGGTTCTGCAGCTGTGGCAAGATTTCAGTAAATGTGTCTTCAACCCTTTAGCTCCAAATGAAAGACAATTAAGCACTTGTTTGGTGTTTTGTCTTCAAGGAACAAACCCCTTGAGTTCTTCAGGCAAATATAGAGTCCACTTTGTTGGAAAAAAGAATTTAGGCTATACTCCAAACATACAGTCTGACACCAGACGTCGGGTCTCTTGGAACTATTAAGTATACTCTGATTCACCAGTGTTGCATTTGCCCCTTGAAATATTAATGTCTTCCATTTACTGTTGAAGTAAATCAGAAAAACAAAGAATGGGATAAGGCCTCATCGCATCATTACACGTGCGCAATATCCTTTGTACTTTCACATCAATGCTGGTAGCAGTTCATCTCCTCCCCCCACCCTCCAATTCTCAGATGTCAGATTAATAAAATAAATGCTCAAAATACACAGGCTGGGTGCACATACATAGGTACAATAGCCATATTCTGAAATGGTGTAGGTGAGCAATCCTGAAGCCATTTTGACTCTCTTAAAGGTAAAGGTAA